AAATGGAGGGCACAAGATGTTTTAGCCATGATGATGGTCTCTGGGGCTGCCTGGCTCAGTCCTCCCCAAGACAAAGCTTATTACTTAGTATTTAAGTGTGGAGAAGTTAATTTTAGTTAAAATCAAAGATAATGAAATGATCAATGCTGCTCATTGATTAGATTTGTTAGTTTAAGAATGGTTTACATTGAGTTTGAATCAAAGTGAAATTTAAGTTTTATTCTGAAGGGAGTAACAATTCAAAGGAGGACTGAAAATCAACGGTCCCTATCTACTGCCTGCCTAGCCGGTCCATCAGCTCCACTATCTATCTATCACCTATCTGTCAATCATTTCTGCCACCTACATGCCTTTCTGCAGACACCTGTTTTGGACGGACTGGAAACTTACTTCCCTCCCTCCTTGTCTCTTCCAGCAACCCAGGAAGAAGACCCAGCAATTAAGTCTAGCCTTTGAGGCAAGACCCTGACTCTGTAACAACCCATGAGCATGTATTAGTCAGGTAATCTCTTGAAGATTCAGTTTCATCATCTGTAAAATGAACATAAGAATCAAATCTGCTTCAAAAGATGTTCTCAAAATTGTCTGAGGTAATCCACATGAAGTGCTCAGAGTTGTGTAAGTGCTTGGTGAAGCTTAGCTCGTATTATATTAAACTGCTAATCATGATAGATGCCTGGTGTCCTTGTAAGGAGAGAGAGCTCTAAAGGCACAGTGGCCATGGTGTGGAAGTAGACTGCATGATGCCAGAGGTAGATCCCTGAGTCATGCCGAGTCATCAGCCAAGGCAGCCAACATGGGACAGATGCAGCCACAAAGAGTTCTTTCCCTGACCTTGGCCGGGAGTCAGCCCTGACGTGAGGGCCGGCAAGGGAGAAGGGGCGGGCAGGGGTGGATGGGATGCCCCCCTCTGGGATTGAAAGGCTCCTGCAGTCTTTCTCAATTAAGTCAGCAGGACAGTTCAGCAGCTGCTGGGCATAGTGTCCTATGGGCAGTGACCCCAACCCTGAACCCCAGCCCCCCTCGTTTGCACCTGTCCTTAAGGATGCTGCCTGGGGCTGGGCTACAGTCTGGCTGGAATGATGAGACTTCCCTAACTGCAGCTGACAGTCTGGGCCATGAGCCCCGGTTCTTCAGCTGCAGCACTCTTCCATCCTGCCTCAGCCTTCGGTCATTCACACAAATAAAATATGCAGCAGGAAGCCCTCCTCCCCTTCTCCTTTCAGCTCCCTGTCAAGTCTGCTTATGCTGAACCACTCTCCCCAGGAGCTGCCTCAGGCTGGCTCATGGCTCCTCTCCTGGGATGCCAGCCCTGAGAGGGCGAGAGGGGTTTCTCCGGCAGTTCTTCTGGTCCCATCTCTGCACCTCTTTCCAGGGAGCTCCTCTTGGGGCTTGCTCCTCTCTGTTCAGTTAGGACAGAGCTGCTGTCACAACCCAAGGGACAGGCCCTCAGGCAAGCAGCTTCCCTTGGGCTTTCAGTGGTGCACTCAAGGCCAAGTCTGCCAGTGGATTCATGAATGGCCTTCAAGAGTTTCTTGGTTCCAGGCAGGGGTGTGCATGAGTCCAGGCTGGCTTATTGGTACAAGTGGATGGGCAGCAAAGTCGACTTGTACCTGGAGACACAGCGCTCTCTTGCTGGTGACACAGCTGCGACGGTATGAGCTAACCCTAGAAGCTAACACTTGTACTGAAGCAGGGATGGTTGGAAACCATGAACATCACAATGTTTTTAGTTTACCTGGGCCAAGCAGACATGGTGACTAGATTCAAATGGCAAAATCATACCTTTCCCCATAGATGAGCAAGGGTAACCCCATCCTGAGAGACTAGAAGCATCCTTCTCTTGACCAAACTCCTCTATATGGACCACTTGTCATCTGAGTGATGCTTAACCTCCCAAGTCACGCTCAGAATGGGCCCTGTATCAACCATGCCTTAGCAGACTGTTCTTGAGCATCAACCAAGTGCATCTGGAAGAGTTACAGTTCCAGGCCCTCGAACGAGATGCGGAAGGCGTAAATCCAGAATCTGCCTTAAAAAGCCTGTGCAAGCTATGTCCACAAAAGAGGCATGAGGTGGATTTGGAAAAGAGGGTTTAGCAGCTTATCTGATCTGCAAGCCATCTTCTATCCCAGGAACCAAAGGCAGTAATGACCTGGTCCCTTCCTCAGACACTTGCCAATCCACCCTCATTACCATTGACTGCAGAAAGGCGAGGGAGCATCCCTGTGTGGCCCATGCTACAATGACCAACAGCAGGTCTGGGTGGGTAGCACGTGGTTAGTACATATTGATGATCAGAAAACAGATTAGATTTCTGGGGGAGGTCTGGGTGTGGTTCACTAGAGGCTCCTGCGCTAGGAATTTGGTCCCCTCCACCACAGTATTAAAAGGATAGGACCCCATGAGGAGTTACTAGATCAGGACCACCCTCGCAAAGGGACTCAGGCTGGTTTCTGGAGTAGGTTGGGTCTCACGGGAGTGGATTCACAAGAGCAGGTGGCTGCACGGGAAGGGTGCTGCCTCTGCCTGGCCTCTCTCTGTCTCTCCATTGCGTGCTGTCCGCCATGGGCTGCTATCTGCCATGCTACAGGTGAGGACCCTCCGGGGGGCCCAGTCACAGCTGAGGCTTCTCAAACACTTGAGTCATGAGCTAAGTCGACCTCTTTTCTTCATAGGCTGCCATGGACTGGGAATTTTCTTACAGCCACACAACATGGAGGAGGACGGAGGGGTAGGAATGCTCTGTGAGCTCAGAGTGGTGCAACGATGTGAACTGCAGCACGGTCCTAATGATCAGAGTTCCAATCCCAGCTCCAACCTTCACCAGCTCTTCTGTATCTCATGAGCTCCCTGCTTGCAGCCTCCTGTCTGGTAGATGGGAGTGGCTCATCTGCGTGTGTGGGACTGTCCTCAGAGCTGGGCCCTGTGGGGAGCATGCAGCCAAGCATCCCTGTCATGGCTGGTGGTCAAGAAAAGGTATCACCAGATGCTCCTGTGAGCAGACACCGAGTGTGCTGGGCACTGGGCAGACAGTGGATGGGGTCAGGGAAGAGCCAAGCCACCACCTCTGGCTTCAGCCAATCACTTGGTCCTGTGTCATTGCTAGTCACACCTGGGAGCTCTGTCTTTGTCACTGACTTTCCTACCCTTCTGATAATGATTAAATTGCTCAGCTGTCCTACCCAGTACCTTCCAGATCTCAGGCCAGCACTGGACTCGGGTAAAATTCAGATCTGGGTCCAGATCTGGCCCTGGATGTGCCCTCACCATGTCAGTGGGAGTGGGGAGAGGGATTACCTGGGTCAAGGCTGTTCAGCCACGATTTCCACAGCCTTCCTCCTTCTGCTCTTCAAAGGTGACTGACAGTGAGCCTGGGGTTGGCAGAGCCCTTGTCCAGAAGGAACCAGGGTCCAAGCCCCACCTACTGGGAACACCAGTTATAGCTGGCTGCCGGAGGGAGAAATGAATTTCCTCTGACATTTGGAGATGGATATGTGAGGAAGCCAGCATGTCACTGACTAATCCGTTGCTGCTAAAGTGAATCCAAATGCAACTAATTCAGGATGATATTTCCTGGCCAGCGCTCTTGGCACTGCTTTGATTGGTAAGCTTTGGTTAAAAGTTAGGAGGCCCTGCAGGGAACAGAAGAACCAGAGCAAAGAAAAACAGGACGATGAGGGAGAGGGTGCACAGACATGGGTGTGCCTGCCTGAAGAGGGTGGCCTTTCTAAGCAGGTGATGGCTCCGAGGGGCTGCCAGCCCACTGTCCCATTCTGCGTTATCCCTGCCACAGTGCTAGTTGGTTCCTAAGGGAGCACGGGGCCATGTTAGCTGGCATCACCAGGGCATGGATGCGACTGCTGTCCCAACCTGCAGCTGGTGAGGCAGACACCGTGCAGAACTCAGCACATGCAACCTTGTTTATCCTGCTAATCCACAGCCTTGCCTTCCAGAACCTTCTTCCTCCCCTGGCTGCTCTGCCCATCCTCCCAGCAGGGAGCAGGTGTACCTGGGCACATCTGTGGGTACATAATGCCCTCTCTGATCACGCCATGGCCCAATCTGCATCTTGTTATACCACTCTGAGGTCACAGGTAACATACATGCTTTCCACCCATCACAAGCATACTGGAATAGAATGACCCAAAGAAATGAACCACTCACATGGAGAAATGCAAAGTTTGGCTCCACTTGTTTTGATGGGAACTTCATGTTCTTTTCAACAAGCAGCAGGCCATGTCAGACCCTGTCCTGAACCCACCATCCTTAAACCTGCCCCACTGGATGTAGACATAGGACCTAGGATGGCAGGGCCTATGATCTTATCCCACCCATGCCAGCTGGAGATGGGGAAACTGAGTCTTTTCATAAAGAGAAAGGATTTTCCAAGTGTCCCAGGGACTAGGAGAGGGCAGGGCTGGAGGGTTAGAAGGGAGTCTTTGGTAGCCAGGGGTTTGAGATAGGGCAGGCTGCACATCCTCGCAGGTACCACACAAGGAGGGGGCTGTTAGGAGCTGGGCCTGCTCGTTGCCTCCAAATTGCCTTCAGTGCCTCCTTCTCTAGAGCTGCCATGTGCCTTATATGCACTAACAGGTACACATGCTGGGTGCAACAGTCATCCACAATCAAAACAGCCTGTTATTCTGATGCTTCTTGTTCTATTCTTCCTATTCAGCCTCAGCTGTCAGTGGGCACAGACTGTACCTGGATTATCTGCTTCACCCCTTGTCCAGTCCCATGTCCAGTGCAAGCTCCCAGTGTCAACTGCTGCCGTGTAGGTGGAACTCTGTCACTCAATTGCCTCGGGTGCGTATGTCACCTGCCTATGAGGCAGTGGAAGGCATCTACTATCCCATAGTGGGCCCGACTGGCAGGCAGGGGACATGGCCCTGCCCTGCAGGTTGGCTGTGCTTCTCATAGTGGGCCCGAGGCTGCCCTTCTGTCCCTGGGAGAAACCTCCACACCCTGGTGGTGCAGGGGGAAGGAGAGCAGCCTACCTGGCCCGCTGCAGAAGGAGGCAATGACAGCCAGGACACACACAATGCTCAGGTACGGGATCCAGGGAGCACGGTCCTGCGAAAACAGGAGCAGGTGTGAGCAGATGAGGAGGGAGGGGCATCCTCTGTGAGAACAGGGGCAGGTGTGAGCAGGTGAGGAGGGAGGGGCATCCTCTGTGAGAACAGGAGCAGGTGTGAGCAGATGAGGAGGGAGGGGCATCCTCTGTGAGAACAGGGGCAGGTGTGAGCAGGTGAGGAGGGAGGGGCATCCTCTGTGAGAACAGGGGCAGGTGTGAGCAGGTGAGGAGGGAGGGGCATCCTCTGTGAGAACAGGGGCAGGTGTGAGCAGGTGAGGAGGGAGGGGGCATCCTGTAGGCCAGGCGTTGGGCCTTACCACCCCATCTACCCATCTGTGCAACCTGGTGCAGGCCGCTTTCTCCTCTGAGCTCAGGATCCATTTCCCACCAACGTGGTGATGGTGAAGAGGCCTGGGAGGGAGAGACAGTCACCCCACTGCTGGGTGTTCTGGCTATGTGCGTCACACAGGAAAAGGCAGGCCCCTGTGTGAGGCTGGCGTGTCCCCCACAGGGGAGCAGAATGGCTTGGTCTGAGACAGGTGCAACAAGAGGCTCCCACAGGCATTGCTGCTTTTGGAGATTTCCCCCTCAGTTAAGTATTTGTTCTCGGCCATTCTGCAAGGCGTGAGAGGGCCTGACCCTGCATGGGGAGTGTCTGGAAAGGCCTACAGTGGGTGGCTCAGCACTGGAAGTGGGAGTATCTTAGGGGAACTGCCAGCACACTGGCATGCAGGTGCGTGCAGGTGCTGGGGCAGGGCTGTCCCAGGAAGAACCACCCTGTCTCTCCTAGAGAGATGCAGGGGAGGCAGCAAAAGCCTGGAAGGTGGAGCCTGAGCCAGACTCCTGGACAGGGAGGGCCGGTGAGGGGTGGGGGCCACAGGAGAGGGCAGGGGAGTGAGGAACTCCTCCCTCATTCCTCAGGAGCTGTAAGGGCTGAGAGGAACGGAACACTGCAGGGCTCAGCTTACTTCCTCACTCCCTCCCTCCCTCAGCTGCTCACAGAGTTCCTGGTGCCAAGCACCAGGCTCAGAGCTGAATGCAGAAACGACACAGGTTGTCCCGCCCTCCACAATCACTGTCTCCCAGGAGAAGGAGACAAGTCTCAGGGCATGTCCAGGTCCTGAAACCCGTGACCTCGGGGGCTCCCTGGAGTCTATGGACATGCAGAAAAGGGCACCTCATCCTGACGTGGGGACAAGCGGGCTTCCTGGAGGCAGCGATCTGTACAAGTGTCAGGAAGCAAGGCAGAGTTAGGGGAGCAGACAAGAGGTCTAGAAGGCGGAGGGGTGCCCATCTTGGGGAGCTGTGGGGAGCAGGAGCAGACTCGGGGAGACAGGCTGGGCTATGGTGTAGATGGGGTCTGAGGGTCCCAGGCAGCCCTTTCAGACTTGGGACACAGCTGTAGCCAGACCACAGCCCATGGCACCTCCAGATGGTCCTTCCCAGAGCTTCTCAGCTCAGGAAGCTGGCAACTGCCCTTGTTCTGGACAACCTCAGCCTGGACTTTGTCCTGAGGGAGATGCCCCCATCTCCCATGGGCCAGCATGCGTCCTGGCACCTGCTTGTGTCTGTCAGACAGCGGTTGCTCACACTGCCCTCTCCTGGATACACATGCGACACATGTCAAGATCTGGGGGGCTGGGTCTTGCAGGGTATAATCTCACCCCCTCAGTGGCTGGCTTACTCACAGTCCTCACCTCCATGGAGAGGACAGTGCTGACTTCCTAAAGATGGAGTTTAGTTCCTCCTTCACCCAAACCTCTCTCCCTGGGCACTTCTGCATAAACCCTCAAGGCACCCCTGGCCCTCCCAGAGATGCTGCTCTGGGGGGAACAGAGAGGGAAGGACTTGCCCAGAGCCCCATGGTGGGGAATTCAACCATAGTCAGTCTGGGTCCAGACTCCCCACGCAATAATATGGCCACTGGGACAGAGTCTGATCCACAGCAGCAGGTGCTCTGAGCTGGATGTGAGACTGCCATGCACATTTCTGGAGCCATCTAGAGCAGGTGCCCTCCTACAAGTGGGCAAACTGAGGTATGGATGGGGGACCACCCAACTTCTCAGTGGCAGTAACTGAACTATAGATCAGGTCTCCCATCACCAAACTCCACCCCCAAGGGATCCAGTAGCTCCTGAGCCAAAACCCTCCGTGCACTTGGGGCAACCACACTGCAAGCCCTGCTCTGGGAGGGGACAAAGATCACCATGCCCCCCTCACCCTGCACTGAAGGCCCCAGGGCAATGAAGCTGCAGCCAGCACATTCAGACCTCCCGCAGAGATGATGGGCCACTCTTACCTGCAGTGTCAGTGTGATGGTGAGGGCCCCAAAGAAGAGAGCCATGAGCCCAAAGCCACCGATCAGCAAGGGTCTCCGCCCCAGGCGCTCGATGACCAAGCCCTAGTGCAGGGGGTAGGAAGGAGGAAGAGAGGGATGGGGAAGGGGAGGGAGGAAGGAGGAGAGAGAGGGAGAGGGAGGAGAGAGAGAGAGAGAGTTAGAGTTGTTAGTCTAGCAATAAGCAAAGGGGAATGAGGTAGAAAACTGGCAATTGGGGTCATGGTTCATGAGGGAGCTTGTGACCTTGGCCTCAAGGCAGCCCAGCCAACTTTTTCTAAGGCCAGAAAAGCAACCACTTCATGGGAAAGAGGAAAGACACGGTAGGGCAGGTGGTAGTTCTCAGTGCGGGGGCCCTGGAGACCATGGGCCAGAGCCGGAGCGGTCAGAGCAGGTTCTATGAGTTCTCGGGGAGCCTCAACTTCATGCTAGGCTCCGTAGCACCAGAGGCCCCACTTGGTGTGGCCCCAGAAGCTGTGTCTCCGATTACTGCTGACCTCACCTGGTAGGCCCCTGTGCCCACCGCCAATGGGGCAAAGGCCCCTCATGGAACCCCTCACAACGTCAACTTCCTTCCCTCCCCTTCTACATGCCCCTGGGATCCTGGTGCAGTGGCAGGCTTGAGTTCTCACTTGACATGGGACAGGTGCATGAATCCTGGCCATCGGCTTCTGCTACCCCAAACCTTAGGGCCTTTGCCTGCCACAAGAACCCCGTGCTGGAGGACGTCTCGGAAGGGGTGACTGATTAGTAGAGAGGCTGCATGCATGCACACACCCCACACGGCCTGCTCGGCACCCAGAACAGGGGAACTTATTTCTTCAGGCCTCAGTCTGCCCACCTGGAAAATGGAAATGAGAAAGCCACTCTTGCAGGGTCGCAGTGAAACCAGAGGGAAAAGACCCACAGGGCTGGAAATTGGCTGGAGGACAGCAGAGGCCTCTGACGCCCTGCAGAGGACCGACTGCTGCTGTCACTTAATCAGTGGCCTGGGCTCAGCTCCCCACTTCTGTCTCCAGCTGGCCATATGGCGTTGGATATGGCAGTGCCTCCTCGCTTCTGACAACTGAGAGCAGGCAAGTGCTCTGCGAGCACCTGTCGTGTGCTGGGCCCTGGATTCAGCCCTTTGTCAGCACTGACATGGTATGCCACAGAGCAGGGTCTACGGTTTGCTTCCCCATTTTGCAGGTATAGTGACTTTGGGGACTTTCCAAGGATGTGGCCAAGCCAGGAACACCTATGAAAGTTTTCTTAAGACGTTAAAGCTACCCAAACAGCTGCTCTGCGTTTGGGGTCCATGCTGAAATTGTAGGCAGTGTACTTAAAAAATAAACCCTGAAATCAGTGACCAGTATCAGTCTACTGCACTGAGCCATCACTCAGTGTAGCACATGTTGGGCTAAGCTCAGCTCAGCAATGAGCATGTGTTGATTTCCAAGTGCTCAGGCCCCTCTAGATCCTGGGAAATACAGGGAACATGCTCTTTGGGCCCAGGGGAAGCGATCCTGTTGGTGCTGTCTGGAGAGCTCTTTGCAATCGGACCTCTAAAAGGTTAAGATCAAGGATGCCCTTGTGTCCCTGCCTGTGCTGGGTACCACACTAAGCTCATAGTGATGGAGCAGCAATAGGAGGCTAACACAGCACCTTCTGGTGTTGTCATGGAAACCAGTCACAGGCCATAGTGGCTCTGCCCTCATTTCTGAAGGAGTCAGGCTCGGAAGTCCTTTGCCCATTTCCATGATTCTAAATTTGACGCTTCCAGATGCTTCCTTTTTTGTTATTTTCACAGCCTCTGGAGGGGCCTGCATCCTTTGGCCTTTGGTCCCTTCCTTCATTTCCAAAGCAAGGAACTGCATCACACCCACTTCAGCTTCTATTATGGCCTTTCCTCTCTGACTCTCCTGCTTCCCTCCTTCATTTACAAGGACCCTGGGGAGGCACTGAGCGCACCCAGAGAACCCAGGGAACCTAGGGAAACCTCCCATCGCAGCTCCTTGGCACACCTGAGGGGGCCCTTGCTGCGTTGGAGCCTGGCATGCCCACAGCTCCTGGAAATGAGGATGTGGTCCTCTCTGGGATGTTCAGTGTCTGCATACCATAGATGAGCATGGTTAAGTCCATTTCATAGATGAGCAAATGAATCCAGAGATGCTGAATGATTTTTGTTAGTACTGCTCTGGCCATAAACCATCTGCTGGGATTGAATTCCAAGCTGTGCAGGACTGAAGCAAACTAAACTCTTTCTCCCCAGTCCATCCTTATGGCCCCATGGTCCAGTATGCATCTCCACCATTTACCTAACCCCTACTGGCCCTGCAGTGCTGGCTTCCTGGTCCCTTCCTCCAGCAAGCCCTCCAGGAGCTCTTGGCAGGACAGGCAGCAGATATTCAATCCTTCTGGGTCTGTTTTCTGCTTTAGGTCATGACAACGCCACAGTGGCCTCTACTGCTGTCCAGGGCTCCTTGGGCCTTGGTGGATGGATGAGTCTCACGGAGCAACACTCCCTGCAGAGAGCACCACAGGCCTCTAGAACACAGCCATCACTCAGCCTTGGTCATAGCGTCCTCTGCCGGAGTCCTGCTCCAGCTGAGTTCGGAACTCGCGAAGGGTGCATGGATGAGGCGCAAAGAAAGAGAGAGAAAGAAAGAGACGGACCACTAGTAACTCTTCATCATCATAATGGACCACGCACAAAAGCTGTCCGCTTTATTTATACAAAATCAGTCAAACTCTGGCTCAGACTTTTTACGTCATGGTCAAGTGGGTGTTTCCAAAGATAACTCTGCCATTTGTTTCACCTAAGGCTAGAATGTTAACCAACTGGTGCCTGGCTAGGAAAAGGTTTTCAATAGATGATGCATATCAGTCAGTAGCACATTCCTACCACAATTACTTTACAGCTAGGTCTTGAGACAGTCAAGGAAGGAAGGGACCTAAAAGATTAGCATAGGATCAAAAGGGGGAGTTAACACTCTTGATTAACATATTGCCACAGGACGCAGCCCTAACAGCGATAATAGCTCTTTGGCTGAAAACTAGCCACTAGCAACATTAGCTTCTAAGTTCCTACTGACGTTTAACAGTAACTCCGCAGAGGCAGACAATGCCTGAATAGATTACAGAATTCTCAGTGGGGTTGTCTGGTGTCCATGCAAAGGGAGGCAGAGCCGCATTCAGGTGTTGTAGAGACATCCGCCAGGCCTTGCCACACAGCGGGGAGTTCCTTGCAACCTTGCCTGCAATGGAGCCATGCTCTTCACACCTTCCTGTCTTCCACCCCCATCACACGGACTCCAGCATCTCCCCCTTTCCTATTATTAAGTTGGAGGGTGCGGAGTTCTCTGCGAGTGGCTTGAATTGTGGAGCTTAAACGTTGGAAGATGACTGGGCCAAAAAACAATACAAAAAGGAGAATAATTAGTGTGATCCCCAAATTTATAAAAAATGAGTAGGAGGTCTTATCGGAAATAAAAGATGAAAGAGATTGCAAGAAATGGTTAGTAACGCCTCCTGCAGAGAGAGCCTGAAGGTGAGAGTGAGAAATGGCAGAGATCCGGGCATGTAATTCCTGAATGCTAAGGCTGGTGGATGTGTCATTCCATATACCTTGGAGATGAGCCTTAACATTACTCCAAGGGACATGCGAATCATTATAAGGAAGGGGAGTGACACAAATCCATTTGTAGATACTATGGCAAGTGGTACCAAATCTGGTTTTTAAGTGTTAAGTTTCAGTGCCAATATAAATATCTGCTTCTTCTAATGCACCAATCTTGGCTTCTAAATCTATCAATACTTTCCTATGAACTTATTGCACCAGCTGTAAGAGGTCCAGTAAGGGTAACAAATGCAGTCAGGCCCAAATATAATCACAAAGCATGGACAAAGTTGTTGAAAACAATTCTAAAGCATAAAGATCAGCATCATACCATGGTTCAGTCAAATTTACAGTTAACATTATATATGAGGACCTTCTCAAGACACCCAAAGTACCAGGCATAAGGTTAGAATCAGGACAATCAGTGACAACACACTTTGTACAAGTTACAGCATATACAGAGCCATCTCAGAAAAGTGAGAGGGAGCTTAAGGCTCCATCTTGTAAGGGAGGAATGTTACTTATCAGCAGTCCTTTTGGAAGTAGCTTGAGTCCTGCGCGGGGATGTCTTCGGTGGTTGAGGGTGGTCAGCAGATGTACACGTGACGTGTCCTCATGGCAGGTGTTGATCTGTGCAAACTTCGCCTTTAAAACATTTCTGGGTGGAAGTGTCCGTTGACCTCAGCAAGGGTAGCACTGAGGCTAGTGAAACTCTGTTGTTTTGGCCAGAGGGAAGCAGGAAGGAGAGATAGCACCAGGGTTCCTCCTGGTACCTAGCTCACTACTCTTCCTCTGGGCCTCTGGGAAAGTGGGCTGTAAAGGCAGTCTTTGGGATGTCAGGTTTATAAGTTAGCCATACCTATATAAATTCTGGAGGTCTACCTGTATATTCTGAGAGACCTTTTGGAGTTTCAGAGAGGAAGTAGAAGAGAAAGCTAATCACGCTTAGTAACAACATCAGGTGAAAACTATTAAATAATAAATTTAAAATAATGATACAGGCTTAAATAGTACATTGAAAAGACAGTGAGAATATACCATGAGTAACCTGGCTATTAAGTTAACTTGAGCACAAACGTGTGGATGACTGAAAACATTTTCAGTGATAGTCTGAGGCTTAAATTATGTGAGCCAAAAGCAACCTTAATTTAGGAAAAAGCAATAAAGTAGTTTCAGTAATGATCTAAGATCTTAGACATTTTGAAATTATAAATTGGTTAGAATAACCTGTTGTTTGTAGTAATAGTTTGCGTGGTTATTCAGATGGTTTCTCATCTGATCTCAAGGAACATTGAGACCAAACAGTAAAACACACACACTCCCGCTTTTTTTTTTTTTTTTTTTTTTAACTATAGAGGACTGTAAGAGTATAATTTCAAACAATTTTAACAAAAAGACATACAGCAAGACAGACATAGGTGGCCACCACACTCATTCAATTTTAAATAGCTAATGAGGGTCTCATATG